GCTATTCATAGCTACTTAGTATTGAGTTGTTTGTTTTTCAGAGTTGCCAGAAAAAGTTAAAAATACTTAATAAAAATTGATTTTCAAAAATTAGGATTTTTTTTTTTATTTTGTATTTTTTACTCCTGGTTTTTAAATAATTACATCATATGACTTACTAAGGTTTGTTGTATCAAACAGGAGATAAGAAACTACCTTGCATATTCATAGGGAGGGAGAAAATATTAATATGCATTAGAGAAGTGATTTTCCCATTGTACATGGCTCTGGTGAGACTGCACCTTGAATACTGTGTTCAGTTTTGGGCCCCTCACTACAAGAAAGACATTGAGGTGCTGGAGCATGTCCAGAGAAGGGCAACGAAGCTGGTGAAGGGTCTAGAGCACAAGTCTTATGAGAAGCAGCTGAGGGAACTGGGGTTGTTTAGTCTGGAGAAAAAGAGTCTGAGACCTTATCGCTCTCTGCAACTGCATGAAAGGAGGTTGTAGCGAGGTGGGTGTCGGTCTCTTCTCCCAAGTAACAAGTGATAGGAGAGGAAATGGCCTCAAGTTGCACCAAGGGAGGTTTAGATTGGGTATTGGGAAAGATTTCTTCAGTGAAAGGATTGTCAAGCCTTGGAACAAGCTGCCCAGGGAAGAGGTTGAGTCACCATCCCTGGTGGTATTTGAAAGACTTGTAGATGTGGTGTTTAGGGACATGGTTTGGTGGTGGACTTCACAGTGCTAGGTTAACCGTTGGACTTGATGATCTTAAGGGTCTTTTCCAACCTAAATGATTATACAATTCAATTCTATGACTGACTTCAGATATATATACACACACATATATATATGAGATGTGTGATAGGATGTGTGTATATATATGTCCTCAGAGAAGATATATTACTTTATTAGCTTTTTCTTCCCCTCTGAGACAACAATATCAGACACTGAAAATTGATCTAATTGTTTTATGTTTGTAGTCTGGGCAGTGCAATTGCTACCTAGTATCTTATCTTAACAAGGATGACAAGAAATTGGAAGATTTTGCAAGAACTGGTTTAGTGATACTGATATGCCCCATGAAATATGGATAAATTGTATTTTTGTAGTTCCTGGTGTAGTTCCTGGTCATGCATTAAATTTTTTCATTACATTGTCAATAAGTTACATTAAAATTGTTTACAGTTCTCTTTCTGTTCTTGCTTTCTCTCTCTCTCCCCCCTCCATTCTAAAGCTGCTTAAGGAGATAGCTAGGAAACGCAGAAGCATTCGTCTTGGGAGGGAAGTTGAATTAAAGCCATATATTGCAGCTCACTTTGAAGTTCTTCCTACGGAGTTCACGTTGGGGGATAAGAAGCATTATGGTGGCTTTGAGAATAAGCAGCTGCAGAGTGGTCAAGAATATGTCTTCTTTGTGTTGGCTGTAATGGAGCACTCAGAATCTGTAAGTTAGTTAATATTTTTCAATCCCAAAATTACCTTTCCACAATCATGAAAACATTTTTCCAATGCTTATTCCACTTCCCAAAAGCTATTTTTTTACAGTATGTGTCAGAGCATCTCTAAAGTGAGTGTTTCCTTGCTTAGTTCCAGTTAATTCCTTGAACTTTTCTATTTTGCTTGTGTCTTTATGTGTTGCTTCTGTGTATAACTGAAACTAAGGATCACCTTTTATTAGCTGTGGTGTGATCCTTCACAAATTACATGCTCAGCTATTTGAGATCATTGACACAGGTTCTGAGGCATGAACTTCACAGCAGCATCTTTCTGAATGCATTTAAAAAAGAGTTCCTCACTTGCCTTAATACTACCATTGAATAGTGGTGTTGGATACCCAGGATTCTTGGAAAGATCCATTGAATCAGAGACATGCACAGCTAGCCTCTTTAGTTACAGTCATTCCCTAACAACTTTATCAGTGAATTGTTAGAAAGTTAGAAAATAATTCCATAATAAGGAAAATTCCTGAGGTGAGCTAAATAATAAGCTGTCATTCCTCTTTATGTAATGCATCTTGTAGTTATGTCCCTTTATGCTTGAGTTAATCTACTGCATGTAATATAGTTTAAAAAAAAAAAAAAAGGCAGACAGAAATGGGACTGTAGAAAGAAGTTGCAATACACATTAACATTTTAACGTACCCTGTGTAATATGGTATCTTTTTAATTGGTACTTAATGTGACAGGTACATTTGCTGGCTCAACCACTTGAAACTACTACACCAATAATCTGAATTCCAGTGAAATGCTTCCAGTGTGTAACCTTACAATTGCTTTCTTGATGTCAACAGAATTTGCCTACTTAAACACAATGAGGAAGTAGTTTCAATTTGAATATTTTTGGATACATAGCTTCATTTGAAAATAAAATAAGTGCCTCTTGGAAGCTCTAACATATGTCCAAAGTTCCCCTTTCACTTTTTGACAGTGGCTGCACAGGCAGAGAATTCTGAAGGTGCTGCATCAGAAAGGTTCAAACTGGAGAAAGTAGACAACTTCTGGCTATAAAGTTAGATGGCCAAAAATCTGTGTGTCAGAAATTACCTGTAGTAAAATTGATCTTTTAAATACAAAGTACCGTTTCTTATTTATTTTTCTATATTAATTAAGGCATTGGTCATTTCATATAACCCTAAGGTTACTACTTTGTTAGAGAGAAATCAGGATGAAAAAGCAGAAAAAAATAGAGTTGTAAATTTACAGCTGAAAAGGCTGGTATGGCAAAATATATCCAGGGGCATACTGTTGAAGATTTGAAAAGGCATTACTAAACTTACAATATGGACAATATCTGGTTTAGCATGCCATCTGAAACATCTATGTGATTAAGTAGCATGGGGTAGTCACAGAGAGTGAAGAGTTTGTAAGGGTGAGTGAGCTTCAATTCCCAGTGTTCCAGTGTATCTGCTCAATATAGCTGGTTTTCTTCTAGGGCTATAGATCGTAGTGGTGTATGAGTTGTCACTTGCAATGGATGGTTTTCCTGATATTCAAAATACTTTTTACGTGAGGTTTCTCCTTCAGAGAGCATAAAATTTCTCTGTTGATTGGGAGAATGGAGAACTTGCTTTACAAAAGGGCATGGGGAGGTCTGAATTTGTTTAACTTAGTAAAATGGAAGCTGAGAGAGCTTATGATTACAGTCTATAAATATGTTAAGCATGTTATCAAGAGGAAGGAAAAAAACAATACATAAATTTGGTAAAATAATAAATGAGTTTAAATTAGTCATTAATACAGGTAGGTTGAAAATTAAAAGCAAGATCCTATTTATTGGAGAACAAGTAGTAAGTGCTCAGTATCCCTCTGTATCCCTTTCCAGGCATTTTTTCTGCCTGCTCCAAAGGAAGAGGCTAAATACAAAGAGTTTCTTACTGTTGCAATGGGCTTTTTTCTATCTTTTGAGAATACTGAAGCTGGGAAAAAAACCTCAGTCAGCTCAGGTGTTTCAGGAATGCAACATGGAGACTCCCCAGTTTCTAAACAGCAATCACAGACTTTTAAAAAATTTGGTGCCAGGTTTAGTAAAAAAGCATAACATAACTGGACATCATTGGCATGGGTACTAGCTCAGTACCAGCTAGTGTAAGTGCCTCAGCTTTGCTGGTCCTAATCCCATCTCTAACTTTAAACCCAGATGCTGCCGTAGCCCAGAGCCCAAAATAAGGTCAAATGAAGTGTAAAAAAACATGTCTCCTTTGATAACACTTGTCCTGGCTCAGGGCATCTTTTAGAATACAGTGCAAACATGGTAAATGAAAAGTATTCTCTTCCCCTGATTATCT